AGACAGTAACTAACACTGTGTATGGAGTTTGGAGTTGTGCACTAATGCAGTGCAGGATCTGAAAAATAGAAAAGCTGAAATCCTGAGGCATCAGTGCCTCATAAAACCCCTCGTGGCCTGGGGCATGTCCAGTGCCAGGGCAGCCCTGGGATGGGCTGGGATGCTGTGGGGGCTGTGCTGTGCCAGGCCAGGGCAGAGCTGGGGGAAGGAGCTCTCTGCTCACACCAATCCTGCCTCCCTGAGTGACCAAACACAGCACTGCAGTGGAGTTCACCTCGTGGGGAGCATGGAAAGGGATGGCAGGAGCTTTTTGTGCCTTTGGACAGCCTTTGATATGACTGAGTTGTGGGGCACCTTGCAGATTAAAGAGTGCATGGTCAGGGCCAGCTGGTGGCATTGGCAGGGACTGACTCTGCTGACACCCCAGGGTTTGCCCTTTGGAGGACTTTTGGCTGTGTGAGGATGTGGAAAGTTGACCTGAATTAACATTTAAAGTAACCAGACCGTCTGAATTGGTTAAACCCTCCTGTGGGTTTGGATTTCAAATAGTGTTGCTTTTCTATCAGGTACTTCAGGTTAATTGTATCTGAAAGTAGAGTAAGGACCACTAACTCAAAGCAACTTAACACAGCTCAACCAATTAACTTGAAATCCACACCCCTGAGTTAACTCCAGCCAATTTCCCTGTGTCCCTGTGCAGGCAGGTCCAGGGCCCCAGTGCTCTCCAGAGTGGTTCTTCTCTCCCAAGCAGAAGCAGCTTTTAAGTAAGGGAATTTGATGGCCTAAATTTGCCTCATCCTTCCTTTCTCCCTCCTTGGAAACAGCCTCTCTCTGCTGAGAGCAAACACTGTAACATTACAATTAATGCCACTTTGTAATGAAGAACTGCCTGGAAGACACTCTCTGCTCCACTTCTAACTGGAAAATCTCATGGAAGGACCTGGAAAAGCTCTCAGTCTCTGTTACCTCAGTGACAGATTTCCCTGGCAGTCCCAACACTGCTGCTAAACAGTTTTTTATGTATAAATCATAACTGATAACTTACACTTCTTGCAAGAGGAGTTCCCACTGAGTGCTGCCTTCCAGCCTTCTGGCAAAGTTAAATCAGTAACACATCCCAAAGTAAAACTACGTGCAAGACGTGTGTGATGATCTAGAGCTGGAGAACTGGATGCTGCCTCCTCTCTCTTGCTGAGAAAAGGTGCTCAAAGGCCTTCTGCAAGAAAAACTGGGGGGGTAAATGAAAGGTGCTCTGCAAAAGCTGTTCACAGACTGCAAGATCAACTGGCCCTACCAGCAGGACTCGCTGGTGCTCAGGGAAACAAGAAAACCAAGGAATCAGGTACAGGAAAGAGGCTGCCTGGTATAATCTCTCTACTTGGGTTGCCAAAACAACATGAAAGTGTTGCACAATCCTTTGTTATGGGCTGCTGGCAGTACTGGTGTCATTCTGGTGTAATTAGTTCACCTGTTATTGAACTTGCTCATAGTTTGATGGGAAAATCCAATAAATATCAAAACATTTTCTGGGGGCTGGATGTTATTTCAGTTGTCAGCAGTGTGACTGGTGTTGCCCACTTTTTTGGGCAATATTCTCTAAGACTGAGGGGAGAAAAAGCCATCTAGCCTATGAAGAAGACAAATAAATTCAGTCACTGCAGTGATTGCAGTGAGTGCTAATCACCCTAAGTTTAGTTCTGCCCTGGTACTGTGCTATGTAAAAATAACAAGTGTGTCAGCTTCCTACCTGTCTGGGGGTTGTCCTGGCTCCAGACCTGACAGAAACTCTGCAGGGTAACTCCAGAATGAGTGCTGGCTGTCCCCACGTGGCCAGTGACCCCAAACTCCTTGGGATTCAGCTCCCTGCAGCTCCAGAGGGTGTTCCTCCTTCTCCTGCAGGACATCTGGGACCTTGGCCTTTTGCAGCTGAGCTGGTACTCATGTTCAGGTCAAGGTGAGGCAGAGGGTCACTGAGAACTGATTTGCTTTAAATTAAGTTTCAGACTGTGGGCCTGAAGCTCTCCTACAGTGGTGAGAAAACTCCCATTGCCTGAAGAGACTTTTCCTCATTTCTTCTGGAACGGGACCATCACAATCCAGATAGAAGAGGAAAGAGTGAAAGAGCTCCTGAAAGCTTTTTCTGTGATCTGTACAAGGGGGTCTGTGCCTCTGGGAGGTGACATCTGATGGCATCTCACATCTGATGTGTCCCAAGGGCCACTGCAAGGCTTCCTCCAGCGAGGTGCTGGTGCTTCATCATCCTCAGTTCCTGCTGCCCGATGCTGAGAAGGGAGAGCTCGAAAGGAGATGGGGATGTTTGACCTGTTTGATGTTCATTTCCTTGCTGGTTTCAGTTTTGATTGACTCTAAACCCAGTGCTTGTGTTTGTATCTGAAAACTCAGCAAAGTCTCTCTTGGGGTATCCTAGAGGGTCTCTGGGGACTGGGTCTGCATGCAGTGAAATGCATTCATTCAAAGCCAAATAAATAGCTTTTCCTCATCACAAAAAAAAAAAAAAAAAAAAAAAAGGCAAAGTAATGCAAGGGGAGAATTTCCTTCACATTTCCTTCATTTAGCTAATTTTTCATAAACTGAAGGTGCTGAAAAACAGGTAAGGGAAGGCTTGACTGCTTGCTGAACACCTTGTGATGCTGCTGGTTACACAGCTACAGTGCTTTGTTTAAAAAAAATCCAGATAAATGGTTATAAAATTATCATCAAACCTGCCTGCTGAAATGAAATTACAAGCTGCTTATCATAAAGCTCAGAAAGTAGAGAGCTGTACACCCACTGAAAAAAATGGGAGCTGTACCTCCTTTTCAAGGAGGAGATTTTTGCTCTCCCGTTGGAAGCGTGAATTGAAATCTGGGGAATTTGGTGTTGTTTTGCTTGTGCTGGTGTGTATGGCCTTTTTCTGTGTGTTTTTCATAAAACTGGTGTCACCTAGATGGTATTATCCAGCAAATTGGCCAGAGGAGCTGTGGGGCAGCACAAATCAGATGCAGCTGCTGTCCCTTTGGTGCCAAACGTGGGAATTGAGTGAGGGCTGTGGTAGTGAGCTGCTCAAGAAATGAGGCTGGGGAGGTACCACAGGAGAATATTTTTATTTACAGCTACAACATCCTGCATGTTTCCAAGCAGGGCAGTCACAAGCTGCTCTCAGGTGGTGTTTGCAGCAGGTTACAGGGTTATGGAACAGAAACCATCAATTTGTGCTGAAAACACACATTTGTCTCACAAACCACGAACTATTTAAAGCCTCCAAGACACCTACCAACACCAGATTTGTATGCTCTAAGAACAAATCCTTGCATGTACAAAACCCACCAGACACAGAGCTGCAATACTATTATTAATGTGGAAATTCATACTGGAATTGAACAATCCACCAAGGGACAACATCAAGGGAAAAGATGAACTGAAAATTTCCTGGCGTGCTTTCTAATCTGAAAATAACAAACTGCTTTTTAAAAATATGTGCTTGGGAATAAATAATTGATTAGTATTGCTTAGCAAGCAGTAAGTGCATCTATTGCTTAGATTTCATCCAGTAATATAACCTCAGTAAAAACCTCAATTCATGGCTTCTGCTTCTGTATTTTGAAACATTTGGTGTTATTTAGGTTATTGGAACAATTGTGGTTTAGGGATAAAAAAAGAAATAGGTTGTGAAATAATGTTGTGACAACAAGGAAGCTTTTGTTAATATTGCAAAGAAAAAATAAACCCACATCCCTGGAAGAAAAAGACAGCTTTGATCATCTGAAAAATCAAAATACCCTTTTGGAACAGGTACCCTGGTAATGATATGCATGGAGGGCTCACTCCCCCAGACCCCTGTGTTGGCTAATTATGATAATTACAGCACTGTGGTACAAGTTTTTGGCAGCTTTGTTGGCAGGGCTGTGGATTTGCTTCTGTGTGAAACTCCTTTGAAAGAAGGCATTCCCATCTAGTTTGGGATTGGAGGAGTAATTCTCCACAGAATGGTGCCATTTCATGTTTTCCTTCCTGTTTGGGATGAAAATATTGTCAAAATATTGAGATTGTGCTCAGAGTTGATGAGGGAGAAGGTTATTCCCTGTTTGTTTATAATTCTTCCTCCTGCTGCACTGGGGGGCTTTCCAATGCTTTTCTGTTTGTAGGAGGCACCACCTGTCCCTCCCTTCCCAAAGATGCCCAGGGGGAAGATCCTGCAGAAGGTTTCCCCCAGTTTTCCTGGTGGGGACAGTTGTGGGTGAAAGCAGAATTGTTCCCACTGCTGCCCTGCAGCTCACAGCCCCCCTGGCTGGCCTGGCCCTTGGGCCCCAGATCCTTCAGAGCCACCCTGCCCAAAGGGCAGCAATCCCTCTGCTGTGTTCCTAATGCTCAAAAACTGGCATTTTCCAGAGATTCCCAGAGACAGGGGCTTCACCCAGCTGAGTGCTGTGCATTCACAGCTGCTTCTTCCCTGAGTGCTGGGAGGAGTTTATCTTTTGGTGCACTAATGTCACATTCTCTGAAAAATCTCTTCACCCAGGATTTTTCTCCTGGGAAGAGTCAGGACTCTGGAGAGAGTCATGAGTTTTCATTATTATCTTTTTAGCACTCAGTAAATATCTTTTCTGTATTCTTTAGTATAGTATAGTATTCTTTAATACAATATTATGAAATAATAAATTAGCCTTCTGGGAAAATGGAGTCAGATTTATCAGTCCTTCCTTCATCAGGGCACCCTGCAGATACAATACACTAACTTTCTAAGCTGACAGTTAAAAAGTCCCTAAAATAAATATTTTCCTGAACTTCAGCTGCAATTTCTAAAGTTTGAAACATAACCAATACATGCACTTTAAGTTTTAGTAGAGCTTTACCCTGTAACTGCATAGCTCATCATGGTCTGTTCAGGTTTGTATCAAAAAGCAACATGAGATTTTTGGAGGAGCACAATCCAAGGCAGGGAGAGAGGGACCAGCTGCAGGCTGACCATTCCCTCCTGGAGAGCCTTTTGCCTCCTCTGCTCACATGCAGCTTGTTTCCTGGAGCCCTCCTACAGCAGCACACTCTGGATCTCTCTTTTGGGCTTGGCTGGGCTTTGGCAGGAACTCTTCAGAACCTGGGTTTTGTTGTTGCTTTTTCAGCCTGGACAAGGAGCTCTGGGGGGATTTGTTGCACCTCAGGAGCGCCACAAAGCACCTGTAAAACTGTCACACAAAGAGAACAGCAAGTCAGCTGGAGTTTCCTTCAGCTCAGGTTTTATAAGACAGACTTTATCTCATGATTAATTAATTAAGTTCCTGGGATAGTTCTGGAACAACATGGGTGTCATCATATTTTGTACTGGAGGTTGAAATGTTTTGTTAAATAAAACATGTCTATCAAATGCAGGGAGTGATTGGCATCTGACTCTGTGATCCAGAATGCTGAACAATTGCTTTATTAAGCTATGCTCTATTACATAAATGCTACATTATAACTGTACTAAAGAGATACTATGCTATACAAAAGATACTAAAGAATACTAAAGAAAAACCCATGACTGTCTGAGACAGCCAGGACACAGCTTTGACCCAACTGGCCAAGGAATCAAAACAATCCTCAGCTGTGTGAGCTGTCAAGGCATCTGCTACAGCTTTCCACAGCCTCAGGAATGCTGTTGGTGTTGAAGGTGGTTTTCTGGGTGACCAACACCTCCTGCTTTCACATGCTTGGCACTGTTGGGTGGCTGCAGCATCTTCTGGCCTGAGGTTCTCTCCTGAGTGCAGAGAAACCCAGACTACTGACTTCTCATTCTGCACTGGGTATAGAACCCTGAGCACTGATTGCTGCTAAAATACCAACTGAGCAATGCAAACCAAATGGAATTTAAGAAAAAGTTTTTAAAAACACTACCAAAAAACCCTCCATAAACAAAATTAAGTGTGTATGGAGCACGAGGAGTAAAATTTAATGGTGAACTTCAGAAGCCTGGCATGGATAAACCCAGTTTAATTTATGTCTAGCTGCTGTTTGTGTCAGACTGCTGTTTGTGTCAGCAAGCTATTTAGAATTGTCTGTGGAAAACTCCTCTGCACAGTCTGTGTTGTTTTGGACTGCTCTTTGCAGCCATGCACACGTTCAGATCAGCCTGGGATTTCTGAGCTGCCTCTCTGGATGCAGCCAGGGCTGGATGTGTTGGAGTGAGGCAGAGCTACCCTTTGTGTGTTGGGCTCTTCCCTAGTGGGGGATGGCAACAGCTCAGGAGGTTTCATCAGAGCGTTTATTCAAAAGCTAAATTATAGAGGAGAAGGGAAAGAAGGGCTCCTATCCCAGGGAAGTGCTCTTTGCAGCCATGCACACGTCCAGATCAGCCTGGGATTTCTGAACTGCCTCTCTGGATGCAGCCAGGTCTGGATGTGTTTGGACTGAGGCAGAGTTACCATTTGTGTGCTGGGCTTTTCCCTAGTGGGGGATGGCAACAGCTCAGGAGGTTTCATCAGAGCGTTTATTCAAAAGCTAAATTATAGAGGAGAAGGGAAAGAAGGGCTCCTATCCCAGGGAAGATGTCAGGGAATTCTGCAGAGAAGGGACTGCACCCCCATGAGGAGATGATGGGTGGTGAGGAGATGATGGATGGTAAGGAGATGATGGATGGTGTCATGGGAACTTTCACTCCCTGGCAATTCCTCATGTCCCAGTAAAAACACCCACAGCTAATTTAAGCCAGACTTAAATCAATCTTTTACCATCATCATTTGTTTCCAAGAGAGAGTGAGCAATTTACTATCTGTGCTTCCTAACAGCTTCCAAAAATCATTTCAAGTGGAGGATTTGCTGGACTTGAACAAATGATCCACGTGCTGTAATGCCAGCAATGCAAAGCTCAGTGAATGTGCCTGAGCACATGGGGTGGTGGAGCTGGACCTGGCTGAGGGACTGGAGGAGCTCAGATGCTCTCTGTTTTTCTCTGTACATCTCTGCTCATCTTCTCTTTTATTGTCAGTCCCTGTGCCAGGGGCTACCCCAGCTCCTGCCTGCTGTGTGCTTCCCTGCTGCAGCTCCTCTGGCACTGCCTTCTGGCAGATCCTCACCAGCTCCTGGGAGGGGAGAGCAGGACAAAAGGGTGACTGCAGGATTTGAGGGGCTTAAAAGAGTAAATCAGGGAGTAAATCAGAGAGCTGGTGTTGTGAGGAGGAGGAGTTGCTATGGGCAATGTGCTGTGCTGAGGCTCACATCCTCACAACACTTCACGTATCTGAGTCACCTCAGACAATTTCTGGTGCTTCCACTCTCGCCAGCACACGAATTTCTTCTCTTTTTGCTGAATTGGGCAATGGAAAAGAAGGACCAATCATTTGCTATTTGCACATGTGGGGAGCTGGTTGTCCAACTGCCAAAAATGCAGATTTATTGAATAGGTTTGCTCCTTGCAGCCCTTTTTCAGAGCTTCCCTCTCACGGATCTGGGTGATGTCACTGATGCTCTCCCTATCTCCCTTTGCCATTTTGTCACTCCTTGCACAGATGGAATCCAGACAGATGAAGGAGAGCATTCCACTGACCTGTTTGTTCAGAAACATGTAGATGACGGGGTTGTAGACAGTGCTGCTCTTGGCCAGGATGGCTGGGACGATGCTGGCTGCAGGGGTGATGAGCCCAGGCTGCCCAAAGGTGGCCAGCAGTGCCACAGCTGCGTAGGGCAGCCAGCAGAGGAGGAAGCACAGCACCATCAGCTGCACCATCAGCTGCACCAGCAGCTGCACCATCAGCTGCACCATCAGCTGCACCATCAGCTGCACCAGCAGCAGCACCAGCAGCTGCACCATCAGCTGCACCATCAGCTGCACCATCAGCTGCACCAGCACCATCAGCTGCACCATCAGCAGCACCAGCAGCAGCACACGCTGCTCATGGCCCCTGCTGCTCCCCTGGGGGACAGAGCACAGCACAGAGGTCAGCCCTGCTGGCACTGGCACTGGTTGTTTCACAAACAGGACTGCTGGGGCACCTTCCCTGAGCCTTACTGCAGCATCAGCCTCGTGACATGGTTGAGGCAATGGGAAGATGGCAAAGCTCAGCCAGCAGCAGCCAAAGATTTCTTTGTTACAGAGCATCTTAAAAGCTTTCCAGCAAATAGCACATTGCTAAAGCTTACAGACAGCTGTTTTAGATAATCACTAAAAGCACATGTACACCTACTTCACATGGTGCTTGCTTGTCATCTTTCTATTAACAATATACAATAAAACATTATTAAGTTTAAACCTTCTACTATCTTGCTAAGCACATTTTCCTGCAGTCTTAAGGTCTATCTTAGCCAAGCCTAAGACTCAAACTATTGTTTCATGTCTTTGCTTGCTGTACTATTGTAACTTTTTCTACCTCCAGATGTGCAGCTCAGCTGATCCTATGTTTCTCTGCTCTTTCTAAGGTTTTCTTTCCCAACTTTCTGAAACTCTTCTTACCTTTACTATTTCCCACACCTGGGAGCTCCCGGGGTGGCTGCACTAAGGGCAGGGCTGGCAGTGTCACTGAACAGTTGTGGCTGCAGAGGAGCTGGGCAGGGCTGGGGTGGTGAGTGCTGAGTGTGCTCCTGCCTGCTGGGGCTGTGATGCCTTTTAAAAGTGTGCCTACCTAAAAACAGAGGCCAGACAGAATTAAAGGAATAAAAAGCAGCTATATTTATTGAAGGGCCTTCAGGGCAGACAAAGGCCCCCAGGGACTACACCCAAAATGGATGATGGAACAAGGGGTTTCACACTTTTATAAATTTGGGCCATTTGCATATTGGGGGTTCATCTTCCAATTACAGCTTCAGGTAATGAAGGCATTTACCCCAAGTTTGCTCCCCCCAACTCACTTTTGTTTGCATCTCTGGGGTCTGAGGCAGTGAGGTGTCCTTGATTGCCAGGCCTGGAGAGGAATTGTTGTGTCTGCCCAAAATGGGAAAGCAGCAGCTCACACTGTGTGTGGAATTTAGAGTTACACACTAAAAACTGCAGGATTACAAATATATGAGAAATAGAAAAGCTAAAATGCTAAGGCATCAGCAGGACCAGCAAAAGTGCTCTGCATCTACAACAGCCTCCTCCAGCTTACTGCAAACCCCAGATCCCACAGGAGTGTCCTGGGCAGGAGGTAAGGAGGGAATGTGCCCTGGTGTGCCCGAGGGCAGCAGCTCCCAGAGCCCCGTGGCCCTTCCCCAGTCCTGCCAGGAGGGTCCCCAGCCAGGATGGGATGTGCTGTACCCACCAGCCCTGGGGCAATGAATGATGGGGGGCTGAGAGAACTTCCCTCCCTGCACCCATGGCAGCATTGAATCAAAGTGATTTACAACAGGCTCCTCCTCTGGACGCTGGGCTCACAGCACCTGAGAGCAAATCCCAGTGCATTAAACACTGCTGCCTGTGCCTCAGCTGGTTTGCTGTCAGTGTGTTTTGAAAGCCAGACTTTTCAGTGGCTGCTGTGTCGTGCCTGCACTGGGGAGTGCTGCAGGAAGCAGGAGGAACTAATTATTACAAGCAGTTTTATGGGGAATCCGTGAGGAGTATTTGAGTGTTGGAAGTCACCTTGAGACTAATTAAAAAACCTAACCAAAACTGTTCAAAAAATAGAACATATCTGTAATTGCCTGCTGAGGGAACTCAAATACCAAGTACTTTATAAATATCTTGTTAATGTGCAAATGAAATCTTTTATGACACTTGTCTGTGATTTAAAAGGAAAAAAGTGATATTTGCCACTAGGCAAATAAAGTTGTTAATCAAAATATTTCCATTAGCAAGAAGTGAATATTTCACTCAGAGCCACCCACAGGCATCAGTAGCTCAGATTTATTCACAGCCATCTCAGACAGAGAGCTCACATTTATCTTCCATTGTTGATAAGAATTTTGCACATTCCCTGGGTGTGGATTTTTTTATAGTCTGCCACACCTTGGTATAAAACTTCACTCAGGCTGTGTGAGGAAGTCCAGAGCTGGACTGGGGTGGAGGCAAGGCTGGAGGCCAGAGAGGGGCTGCATTTTGCACCTGTGTGTTGAGTTTGAGGCTCCTGACGAGAGGCACTGGAAGGCACAAGCACCAGCTGCCAGGGCTCTGCACCCCACACAAATCCCAGCTCTTTGTGCCCCCTGAGGCCCTCCTGCCCACCCCCATGGCAGGAAACACCAGGGAAGGTGGTGGGTGATGGCTTGCCTGTGGAGCACCTCAAGGAAAACCAAAAGCTCCCTTTGGTTCTATCGATTTCCATCAATTCCAGAAAAGGAAACCAAACCACCTCTTCCTTCTGGTAAAGTCAGAGAGGACAAATGTTTTACTGATGTCTTCTAGCTGGAGGTCAGGCTGCTGTGAGGCTGGCCATGGCAGGAGGGCTCTGGAGGGAATTCCCTTTAATAATCCTGAGCAGGGCTGGGTGTCACTGTGATATTTTCTGAAAAATCCCTTCGCCAGAATTTCTTCTTCTGGGAAGCTGAGAAGCCTCACAAAAGAATGTAAATAATAATTACCTGATTGCTTCTCGTTGTGTTTTGCTGCTTTGAAATGTGGTAGGTGATTGTTTGATTGCTTCCATGGGAATTGTTTTAACTTAATGAGCAATCACAGCCAGCTGTGTCAGACTCTGAGGAGTCAGTCACAGGTTTTTATTATTCATTCTTGTTAAGCCTTCTGATGCATCCTTTCTCTTTCTTTAGTATAGTTTTAGTATATCATTCATAATATATAATATAATATAATATAATATAATATAATATAATATAATATAATATAATATAATATAATATAATATAATATAAATCAGCCTCCTGAGAACATGGAGTCAGATTCTTCTCTTCCCTCACCCTGGGACCCTCACAAACAGCACAGGACTGGGGTCCCAGGGAGCTGTGCAATGCTCTCCCCATCTGCAAACCCTGCTGCAGGGGCAGGAACAGCTGCTCTGGGCCACTGCTTCAGCTCAGAGCCCCTGGGGGACTGCTGCTGCTGCCTGTGCCACCTGGGCACTGCTCCCTGCTCAGGTATCACCCTCCTGATGTTTGAAGTGTTTTATCCTTTCCTGGGAAAAGAGCAAAGCTTGCAGTTTTCAGACTGCTGATGCCAGGGAATGGCTTCATGGGTAAGCAAGGAAAGGTTTCAATTTCCTTGCCAGCAGCAGGATATTATTATTTTCATCCTATGAGGCCAGACATTTTGAATATCCTCCCACTTCTGTAGCTTATCCTTGAAGCATTTTTTGCTTTCAACTACAAGGCTCCCCACGACAGTCAAGGAAAGCTGAGATATTCATATCTGGCACACATGCAGAAAACTTCTGCAAAACTAAATCAAACCCATGAACCTTGAAATGTTTCTGCACCCCATCAGCAGATGGTGACTTGGCTGCACCATGTACTGTGGGCTGGCATCAGATCACCCTCTGGAGGTAGGCAAAGCAAAGAGCTCTGTAAGAGTGATGCTGGTGAATGGTGCTGTGGGTTTTTAGTTTAATTTTGTCTTTATTATTATCACTGCATTAATGAAGGGATGGGACCGTTCTGGGGCTGAGAATGATTTATTGCTCAGATAAACATCAGTCTTAGAGGCTGTCAGATTTTAGAGGAGCAAGTATCAGCCATAGCTCAAAGTAGTCACAAGTTCTTCATTACAAGACAATATAGACCCTCTTGATCCAATGGACCACAGGGTTATTTTGCATTTCTAACCCATCACCTTTACTCACTCCTGCTGCACTGTGGATACTGTTATGCAATGGGCTGTTAGCACACATACACACATTTGCTTTTATTATAACATCTAAACTTTTAGCTACTCTATACAATTACACCCCTACATTAGAAACCCTTCACATCTTATTAATACAATTTTTTAATTACTTAAGGCATATTCTTACAACTACAGAAACATAAGTTCATGATTTTTCTGCCTCATGTCTGTGCATTGTGTTTTTACATCAATCCAAGCTTCTTCCAAGGCTGCAGATCAAACCCTCCTGTGTCTGTGGACATTTCTACCTTTCCATTTCCCACAGTCTTGGTAACTTCCAGGAGAGCCAAGAGCACAGGTCTGGCCTGTGCTTGCCTTTGGTTGCTGGCCCACGAGGCTGGGCAGTCAGTGCAGGCAGCTCCAGGCTCAGGGGTGGCAGCAGCAGGAGCTCAGCACAGGGGAACCCTGGCCTGCACTGTCCTCTGCTTCTGGCTTGGTCACAAATTGAAACTTCAATCTGCTGTGCAAGAAATTTGTTTTTAAAATCTCATTATTTCTGTAGGTTTTGGTATAGAAAAGAGCCATGAAATATGTGTTTTTATAGCCTTCATTTTTTTTCCACTGGAAATTGGTCTCTGTTCCTTCTAAAATTATCTTTTCAGTTTCCTAGAATTTATTTTGTCTCTGTATCACACCTGCAATGTTGAATGTGTGGCCCAGTGTACTGAGTTAGCAGGACTGGGGACCTGCAGCCCTAGCCCCATCTTGCTCCTCCAGTGTTTTTTTTTTCCTCTTGCTTCCCATGACTGTTGATTTTTTACTGGCTAGGTTTCTTTGTGTTTTCTCCTGCAGAGAAGCACCTCAAGGTGGTGATTCATCCTGCAGAAGTGATTAATTTGCCTTTTTTTTAAATCTCACTGACCATAACTGGGATTGTGCAGAGCCATCCTCCCAGTGCAGGAGCAGAAATGCTCACAAATGGTGGAGTAGCATGGGACTAATGCAAACCACAATAAGGACAGGTTTAAACAGAGGTCACTGTGGACACAGCAAATCCCTGGTTGGTGCTGCTGACTCTGTGCAGAAAGAACAGTCATCACTTCACCAGGAAAGTAAAATCTGTGTTTTCAGCACAGCTGAGCCACCTGGGGAGCTCAGCCATGAAACCTCCCTGTGAAGAATTCCTGGATCCCAGGGTTACCTGAGAATCTCAGCTGAGGGACTGT